ACATGCAGGGTTGGGCAACTGCTCCGTAGGTCCGTCACCTGCCTAGCTTTTACGGCTGTACCCAGCTTGATGCATGCGCTGCAGGCACATTTTTGAGGGTGGAGCTCGAGGAAAGTAAAGCGCTGCCATGGGAGAAAATAGTGCAGACCATGGGAGATGGCGTGTTTAGTACGAAAGCCCATGAGTCTGCAGTGAAGCACCTAAAGAAGAAAGCAGCAAGTTTCCTTGAAATGTTCACACCTTGTGTGGCAGAAGTGGAGGAGGCTTCTGAGCTCCTAATGCCTTCAGAATCAGCGAAAAATAAGCGAAGCCTTCTACGAAGCCTCAAGAAGGCAGTGAAGAGAACAAAAGGGAAGAGACGCGGAGCTACCGGAGAAATGTGCAGAACTTCGGGAGAACTTCAGCAGCTCGTTCGTTTGCTTCTCGTTTGGTGGGTACTCGGCCCTTCATCCAGCGAGCAAACGCAAGAAATGACTGAATCGTTTCAGAGTACTGCAACCACATTCAGGAATGCTCGGTTGGCATTCACATCCCTCATTTTCAACAATGGTGCGCAACGCAGCATTTCGCATACCTTCCGCCACACTGCCCAGTTGTTAAATGATTGCGATCTCGGCCACGCTCAAGCGAAGCCCTAAAGAAAGTGCAAAAGTTCTATTAAGTGCGCATTCCAATTTTCAGGCCACAACCAGGCTAAGGTTGCAATGGAGCTTGTAAAAGCAGGATGTAAAACTAACAAGTTCGTGGTGCCACCTGGCTGGGCCTTGGGGTCTAAGAAAGGCAGACATGGAGCCCGCGAGCTCTCCTTCAAGGACATATCCAAAGATATTATGGCCAGCTTCATGTATACGGAGTCGGCGTTAGGCTCACACGGTGTTGCAGACTGGATTTTGCCGCTGAAGGCAGCGCAACAGCTAGTCGATATCTGCGCCCAGCATCCAGTGGTGCAGCTTGGCGAGTTGCTTTCTACAGATGCAGGCAACGTGATCCTCATGGGGCACCAATGTATAAAGCTTCAAGGTGACACACTACTCCAAATGACTCTTGCATTCAAAATGTTGCATTCACCTGCCTTACCATAGTCACGAATAGCTAACCGGAGCGATGCCGCGCATGACTAGAATCTTTATGTTATTGGGGCTCGGACCGTGCGTACAGACGAAGGCATTAAGCTTATCTCA